GGATGCTCTTCACCAAGTTTGGCCCTGCCTCGGTGTCTTGTCTCATGTCATGCGCACTGCATCGCTTCGAAGCTTGATTCAAAGCAGTCAAAGCATCAGGATCGTGAAGCCTTTAATCCTTGTCGATCTCGCTCCGGAGCCAATCACAATAGATGCTCTGGATTCCAACAAGTTAAGGTCGAAAAACTGGGCGGTAGAAGACCTGACCCCACCTTTTTCACGCAGCACATCCAGCCTTTTGAAACCAGTCCGAAGAACTCGTTTCCGCCAAAAAAACAGGCAGGTGTAGCCCGACAAGTCGCAGACATGTGGCGTTCTTGCCCCGGCTACCCAGTATACTGCTGCTTTACCTCCATCAACCCCAAGCCCAAAATCCTCTTTCGAAAATGTGAGTCTGAATATGACACACATGTGCCAACTTCATCCTCCTTTATGAATTTATGTTCGTCGCTCCCGTGGCGGTGGCGCAAGATCTTCAACCACAGACTAAGTCACCCAGCTCAAACTTCAGATTGGATGAACTGCGCAACTGTTCTAACGGAGCTCATGACCGGAAGAGCTCACGCCGCAAGCCCCTACGGCAGCGGGGCTACCAAAACAAGCCAACTCAACTTGAGCATGGGTATCTCCACCACACAACTCGTGCATCCCATGCGGCCCCAAGGGCCCCAAACCATACATCGCCGACCAGCCGCTTCTTCGCGCAAAAGACATGTGGTTCATCGGAAGGCACCGAGGCTGACAAAGAAACGGACAATGCAAACAGAAAATCGGGTGAACGCTCCTGCTGCGAAACGCAACGAAGCCACTCGAAGGAGAGATGCTAAGGGGCAAACCAAGGAGGCTGCCTTGGGAAGAACTGACTGAAGCCAACACGGGCCATTCTGAGACACTTCCTCCCAGGCAGGACGTAACTAAATCATGGATTACAATTACAATGTAACCTAGTAGCCCAGTAATGGGTGCGTTGTGAATTGTGGCGATAACCTACAGGTAGTTCGTCCCGATGCTTCTCACACGTTTCAGCGAGCTTTGTACCAAACGATGTGCTCTGCCTCTCAAAATTCATCTCCGAACCCCCCCGAAGGAAAGATGAGGCACGGAAGTCGGGCTGAGGCTCCGGCGGCCTCGCAGACACTCCTTGTACAGCTGCTCCGCTTCTTCGTGCAGGGCGCGGCCATGCAGCCTCCTCCCGAGCTCGTACATGCAGTCCAGCGTGATCTCGGCATCGTCCCCGAGCTCTCGTCGGAGGTTGGCCAAGCGAAGCCGGAGCAGTCTCAGCAAGCCGTCGGCCTCGGCTCCAGCATGCTTCACCGTGCCCATATCGTCGGTCACCTGCAGCACCCAAACGTCGCGTCCAGGATCCACTTTGCGGCCGCGGTAGTCCTCTCCCAGGTTGATCCGGCGCTCCTCTCCCGTGTCTGGGTCAAGGACAATCTTCTGGGCGAGGTCAGGCCTAACGCATGCTAAAGCTGCCAGTGACTGTAAGTGGCTGGAGTGTAGAGCAGCAGGGGGCCCTTGCAGGAGGCTAGAGTGAATCGATTCTTGCGCCCTTTACCATTCGGATTACACCGGACAGGTTAACACGAGTATCTCTGCAAAACAGCTTGCAAAAGCAGCCTTCAAACAGAAATCAACAACATGGCAAGAAGGACTGACTGCATGCCTCGGCACGCCTGTTTTTCAAAGATGTTGTACGCAAGCTCCGTGGACACTAGAATCGGAATACAGAAGGCTGCGCGATGGCCTCCGGTGTTGCCTGCGCCCCATTCGTTCTCGACCCGCTGCGACTCCGTGTC